TTAAAATAGCTGCTGTACTGGAAGTCAGAGGCCAAGAATCATATTACCCATTCATGCTCTCTGAACAGCATTATTTTAAAACTTAACTGTATTTAAATTTTAGCTTAAACTTTGGCAAAGAATAAACATCTAGAAAAATTGTGGACTTAAAATTTGTTGGATGTGAAAAATTCTATGTTGCTCTTATCCCTCTCTGCATGAAGATTTATTTTTCTAATGCAGTTTGTATGAGCAATCAGGACATGATGTAAACAGAAAGGAGACAGAGAATTCTAGCAAGATACCAGCACCCTAGCATGGGAACGGGTATTAAAATTTATCTAGTGAAACCAACTGTGTTACTTAATTGCTTAAGTAGAGGAGGAGTTGAAGCATTTCAAGGACAAAAACTCTATGTCCAAAACATTTCCACATGTAGTACCCTTATAACTAATATTCTTACCCTAAGTTCCTAATAATTCCAATATCTTCACTTCACCTCTCCACTGGCTGCTTATACACCCTAGACACCATACTGCACTAGCATTTCTTCCCAAATCAATGACAAATACCTCTTATTACCTCCTCCCATCCTCCTTGTAACTGTCCCTTTTGACCCAGCCTTGAGTCTGTCAATCAACTCTACTGCCTTTCCACCATCTCTCACTTATTTCACATCTCCCCTCCCCTCCTCCTCTGTACTCCATTTTTGATAGATAAGTCTCATCCTGACATTCCATCCATCTCACCAGCTTAGAAAACCCTAACAGGTCAATGCCATCTATCTGCCTGCTCCGTATGTGCCCCTGAGCACCTGCTCATATCAGAGAAAACACCTGCTTGGCTCTCTCCTCAAGTTCTTGATTCTGAACCTCAAAGGGGCTTTCACCACTGCCGACTCAACCTTATCCCATTTCACTTCTCTTCCACTAGACTCCTGTCTTCCTTAAGGCATCTTCGTTGATAAAATTGTTATGTTTTCCCACGCTCTACACCTCTCAATCTCAGGATGCCCATGTGCTATGTGTTTCTGCAGAGAACCCATGCCCTCAAGTCAGGCTTCCTGTTCTTAGGCACGTCTCATCCCAGCTCACCTACTCAAAGGCAGGTCTCCTGCCAACACAGAATCCTTGCTCCTGTGTTACATCAGTTCAGACCCCTGCTTTAGGCCATTCTCATCAGTAACAGAAGTGTTGTCATACCTTCAACTTTCAAAAAGTGATCTTGATCCCTGCTCAGGAGCCATCCCATTTCTCCGGATTTTTATAATAAAAATCTTTAAGAAAAAAAATTTCTATTTCTATTCTCTCCTGAAGTTACTCTATCAATTTCAGCCCCAACTTCAAACAAAATCAGAGAATAAATGATTTCTACATCACTAAATCTAATTAATGGTTAACTCTACACCTGAAATTCCTGTTTCATTTGAATAATCGGTAGCATTTTAAATGATTGTTATTTCCATCTTTCCAGAATCCCTCACTCACCTGGCTTAAATCAACCCAGATAATATTTAAATACATAGTAATATTAATAATTTTTCAAAGTTAGGATTTCAATTAAATGGCTAGTTTATTTCCAGTGTCCAGTTTTCCTTTTTGTACCCAAGGTCTCAAGTTCATATTCTATCACATTTGAGCACCTGTAATTGGTGAGAACTTGGCATCAGGAATAAGAATCATTCTGTGCAATATAATCTTGGAACATAACCTAAATATGTTTATTTAAAATACAAAGTCATGAGGTCAGGGACCAGATCATGGCATTTCAAATATCCTCATCTGCTTCAGTGTATGGAAAATATGTTTCTCCTGTAAAGCTTACTTAAATGATACTATACTTATAAAGTAACATATAACATGTTTATAATTGATAGCATAGAAACCATCATATATACATATATTTGTATGTGTGTATATAAATATTCCAAAAAAAACTCATTAACAGCATAAGCTGAAGTTTTTTTTAACTTCATTCAAACCATAGAAAAGAGAGAAGAAAATGAATGCTAATTCAAATACTAGTTCTATTTTACTTCAAGAGGAAATAAAAGATGTTTAAAGTCTGTATACATGGGGGACAGTTGCTAATAAATAAGTTCTAGTATTTTTACTATGGATACACTGAATACTATATAATCCATAAGCAACATAAATTTTATGTGTACTCTTCCACTTGTTGAAATAAAACTGAAATGTACATGATGCTTTCCTTTGATAGTAATTGATCTTTCCATAGTTTTAAGAGGGCATGGTCACTAAGTAGTCATCAACATCACACATCGAAAATAAATCAAGGAGAGTCAACCTGCTCCCGATAACATTCCCAGGCACTTCAAGTATTTCTATTGTGTACAACAATCTTCACTGAAAACCTGTAATGAAATTTCCTCTGAGAAATCAAAAGATAGCTTCTCTTTAATATGTTTTAAAATAAGAAAGAAAGCCATAAGTATTGAAGAGGAGGCAAAACAATTCAAATGTCAAAGCTGCTCCTTATTTTTTCTCAACAAGCATTTTATTTGTACTTGTTTTTAGTAAATCTCTTCCACAGACCCAAATATTTATTTGCCTTTCATTTGTTAGCTACCATGAACCAGGTACTAGGCTTGATGCAAATGAAAAATATGAACTCACACACAGGTGCACACACACACACACACACACACACACACACACACACACACACTGAAACCTATTGTCCCTTCCTCAAGTGATCCATATTTTCATACTTTATTAGAAAAATATCATAAAACACTGTAAACACCTCCCTGGTAGTCAGGGACACAGATCCACAATGCCAGATATGTCTCCCTAACAATTACTGTTCCTTATTTTCATCATTGATTTCTGTTCTCTATTGCCAAAGAAAAGAGTGGAACACTTGATAGAATTGTGATCGATTGGCTATACGGAATATTGAAATTGATCTTTGGGTTGTTGTCTCCCTTCCTCCTCTTTGTACTTTATTAATTCAATGCCCATTTCAAAACTCTCTGTTTAACTTCTACCAGATTCACATTCCTGAAATACCAGCATAGCACTGTGAACATACTCTGGAACCAGAAAGACAGTGCCTGTAACCCTGGCTCCAACACTCACTGTGTCTGTGGCTGTAAGTAAAGGATTTGACATTTCTGAACACCAGATTTCTTCATGTATAAATGAAGCTAACTTATAAAATGAAGTTCAGTTTATTGCAGAGCTATCAGAATTGAAGACATGTATGTCAATCACCTTGCACACAGGAAACACCATCTGTGTTGGCAGGATATGCTGCTGATGGTGAGAATGAGGTAAGAATGATATACTCCATCTCAGAAACTTGCCATCACCCTCACTGAAGGATATATAAAACTTGAAACATTGTGTGAATTTTAAGATTTCCACAAACATTTTCTGTTCCACCTATGTGGAGCACAATGTCAACTATTCACAAAGTGCATTTTTCATGTTCTGATCTCTCAGATTACTTCCCACTATTCTTCCATGCTTTATGCCAATTAGGGCCTTTAAGTTGACTGCTTCCACAAAGTAAGAATATTTCCCTTGTTTTGAGCAACTATCTAAGTTTCACTAATTTTCAATATTCAGCAGAAAGTTGAACCTCTTTCAAAGTCTTGTGAGTTCTTCTAATACTAACATCTCTGCTAAAAATAAAAATTTTTAAGATTTTGATGGATCTCAATTAACCTTGTCAAATCAGCATAAAAATAAGGCACTTTTTCAATTAAAGGTGACCTGAGAATATTTTTCATATATTTAATAATCATATTCATTATCTTTCTGCCTCTAAGAATTAGCTAAAATACATAAATTAGAGGCCATATCCACTGCAAGAGGCAAGAAGCTCTGTACCTGGGATGAAGCAACTGTTGAAGCCAATGAACATGCAGAATTCAAAAGAGAAACAAAAAAATAACATTATTTCACAATAAAACTATTTTTAAAGTTTCTGAAAAATAAAGCAATTCACATAAACTGTTTCTCCAGATATTTTAAGTCCAGATTGCAAAATGACACAAAACCTATAAATATTGTCTGACAAACTTATTAGATTCCTTTCCAATTTACTATTTATAAAAAATATGGAAAAAATGGAATTCAAGAACATTTAATGTGTACATAAGGACATTTATGGATAACAAAAAGATTATAAAAACAGAAAAATGGGTAAAGATGTAAATAAGATTATTAAGAAATATCATTATATAGTTTGGTGCCTTATATTACTTAAATATTTCTAATTACATCTTTTATTTTAAGAATATCTTCCTCATATTTATGTCCAACTGATTTACCCACTGGACATTTATTTGATAATTTATCTTTGTAGAAAACATAAGCAAATTCTTCCCAATTGATCACAGAGATTTTTTTTCCTTTAGTCTTGCAATTTATTTCTGTATAATTGAACATCAATTTCTTTTCTTTGTTCTTAAATACAAGATTTTATGATTTTATTCCATGTCCCTATCTCTTCCACACTATCCAGGTAACATATAAAACAAAGTCAGTATCATGGCAATATTTAAAGTATACTTTTCTGTTAAGGATGAAAAGAATTCAGCATGAAGTCTCATGAAATGAAAAGTGCATAGACTTTGCATGACAATTTCACTGTTTTTACTACAAGAATACAGATTACTTCAAACACATTCATTTATATGCACATGGAACTAGAAAGTAAGGGTTCAGTATCAATCTATTCTATGACTGTCTAAAATTGGAGTTGAAATTCTTACCTGAGTTTTGTTTAGAGTGCAGTTTTTTTTTTAAGACAGAAAATGCATGAAGCTGTCAGAATAGATAATACCTAGAGTGGAAAAAAGGAAGGGAAGCGAAGAAATCAACTGCATTTTAAAAAGATCCCCCAAATCCTGCTTCCAGACCTACAGTAAGTAGTTTTCCTCTATATCTTATAAGCAACTGTCTTTTCCTTTGCTCTGAAAACACAGACTTTGCCTAGCAGGAAAGTATGAAAATTAAACAGAAAACCAGAAGGTTATGAAATTCTCTTACCCTCTGGGCTTGCGGGACTGCGCTAGCGTCTCAGTTGCAGACACATGTGTAAACAAGAGAATTTCCTGCATCCTTTTCTCATCTGAGCAGCTCCCGGGTCCTGGCCAACGGGATTATTCCAGTATTAAGGACACCCCACGCTAACTCCAAAAGGATTCCCATTGGTTGTGAAGTTCTCCCAAAACCGATACCACAACACCCTCTTTGGATCACAAGTAAGATAACCAAAATAAAATAATTTCAATGTTCTCAAAGCATGAAGTATTTGTTATTCAAAGCTTTCCAGACAGCCCATTTGAAACTATGTTCCGTGAGCAGAAAAGGAAGAAAATAACTACCTCCTCATTCACACGTATATTTAGTATTTAATAGTAATAACTTCTAAAAATGGGAAAGCCTAAAGCTAAAATAACAAAAACTGTTAAAGCCCCTATCTGGAAAATAGTTAAAGGAAAATTCTACTGCAGGTCATAGAACAATGGAAAATATCACTTGTTCAATTTGGTTTGCAAATTGCCAAAAAAAAAGAAAAAAAGAAATCATATTTAATAAAGTTTCTGAGAATACAACTCGGAATACAAAAACTATCTGTCAGTCCTTGTTGGCAGGGAATGTGACCTGCAGTCCCAGGGACTCACAGGAGAGCTCCCTGGCCTCTTCCCAGGGGAAGGAGTGGCTTTCCAGTGACATGACTCAGCTGTCAGGAAGTGTGGTGATGAGGGGTACTGGTCGACCACGGAGAAGAGAGCTTTCCTGGCTGACAGAGGACACAATTCCCCAAGGAAAAGAGCAAGGGCAGAGGAGACGATCAGTAGGCTCCCCACGAGTGACCAGGACAGCTTTGGAAATTAGGAAGTAAATGAGTTTATTCTTCCACCTTTTAATTTGGAGGATTATTCTTAGCTGAATATCAGGGTTTTTTTTAAAAATATTTTTTTTTTAGTTATAGTTGGACTCAATACCTTTATTTTATCTTATTTATGTTTATGTGGTGCTGAGGATCGAACCCAGAGCCCCACACGTGCAAGGCCAGCACTCTACCGCTGAGCCACAACCCCAGCCCAGCTGAATATCAGTTTTTAATCATTTATTTCTACTTCACAACATCCTTTCCTTCTCATTCCCTAACGCAGTGGAAATGTGACCGTTCTCCCTACAGAATCAACAAACCCTTTTGAGCTATCTGGCTCCATCACGCTTCCCTTCGTCTTTGAATTCTCCCCCTCCCTGGACTTCCCCATGGGATTCTAAACACCATAAAGTCCTCAGGTGATTTCACTTGTGCCAATAAATTTCAATTTCCATCTAGTCATTTTCATTTGCAGAAACTTTTTGTCTCTCCTTCATAGTCAAGTGATTGGAAGAGCTCTCCCCAGCCAATAACCCCATTTAATCTGG